TCTGAGTCCACAGTTTATTTTTTTATGAGCATTGTGGTTCTGGGTTTTGAAGCTCTGAAGACAATATACTCTTGAGTTGATGTTTTTTAGGCCAATGCCTGCACATACAGTAAATTAAGGAAGACCTGCTGCACACAAATCTGTATTCAAGTACTAATAAAGGTGTGACCAGAAATAAGTTAGTTCATATAGTTCAATAATGATAATAATAATAATATGCCACTGTATCTTCATAGGTCAATAAAATAGTGTTCTTTCTTACAAAAATCTGTACCCTATGAAGAAACTGCTCTGCTGCTCACTTTATATTCACATCTAAAGTTCCATTGAATGAAAGGCGCATTTTTCCATCACTAACACTTGCTCAGTGCCATCATTTCCAATCTGATATCTTATGTATATTTTTGGAATCCTTGAAAAGGTTATGATTTTCTATCACAACAGTGCATATTGTGTGTGTTTAAAAATGCATACGGGGTTATTTATCTTGTGATTATCGAAACAGATTTTACACAATACACAGAGCACCTTCATCTTTACCACCTTTTTGAACACCCAAATAACACAGTTCAAAACTTAACTTCATGCAGTAATGCAGCTAGCTAAAGGAAATCATTTAGAAAAGCAATTAACAGACTGTTAAACTAATACAAATGCAAACTATACAGTATGTTAAAATCTAAATACCATACTGTACTTTAGGTGTACTATCGCTATTACTACTTCAAATAATTATGATGATGATAGTAATATTGCTTCATTATTAAGGCCAGTATCCTGCACTTCAGCCTTTACATTTCAAGAGTACATTTATGGGTACAGTGCATGTATATCATTCAAAGGAAAAACAATTGAGTCGTGGGTAATGCCGCAATGTAGAAAGTTTAATGGTAAATACCGTATACAGTATATGTGCTTTAAAACAGAGACTTACTGTACAAGGAAGCAGAACTAACAGCTTATACACCAGCCTTAACTGTGTAGCTATTTTAGATAGGGAAAACCACCCCAGGAAAGCATTTCAAATTGTTAAAACAATGTCTATAACATGAGTCTATCAGCTGTTACTTTCATGGAATATTCATAGCTTGAAGAACACACTAGTCATATGAATAGACTGGTTATTTTAAAAAGTCATTGGCACAATGGGTCCTTTTCTCTAAGTGTAATTTTGTAACTTAAAGAAGTGTTAAGAATAACATTTAACCTACTGGTGGGAACATTTTTATTATCCATAAAAATAACCTGCAAAAGTGGTGTGTTTTTTATGCATTCTCATACTCTACTATTTTTTAATGACGGGTACCTGCAGGTCAAATTTAAAGACTAATTATGTCACTTTTTTTTTAGGAATTATGAGGACGGCGCAGTGTATTGTTTCATCTTTCAAGTACAAAACGTTCAGTGCATTGGAGGAATCTGATGTACAACTAAGCAGTTGCGTCTTCCCGTGTCTGTCACGGGATACAGTGTAGAGCAAACTGCTATAGTACTTGTTGAACAATACTTGTAGCTTCAGAAAATCTGATAACTCAGCGAGGATACTATTGAATACAGTATGTCAATCGGGGCTTTGCATGTGCGCTGTATCTTTAAAATGTGTAGATCATCGACTCCATATTTGATGCTGGCAGAAGCGATGCTTTAGCGCTGTCCAGCACTTGTTTTTAGACCTGGTTAATCAGATACTACCCATAGTTACATTGTTACATGTTACAGTGATGCCTAATTAAATTAAATCTAGGCGCTACAAGTGACCTGCAAAACGCAACTGATCGAGCAAAAGACCGTGTCCGTGACAGCGGGGTACTGTCAGGAATTCACTTACAATTATGAAGTTGCGGATCACATGCGTGATGTTGAAATACAGTTTTTGCTCACCACGACGCACGGAGTATTGACTTCTATTGACGGGATCTGTACATCATTTGAAACATCTGATTAAGGTCCGCTAAATGTGCTGCACTGAATCTAACACGCGCAACATATGACTTAAATATTGCTAATAAATCGGGTTTTTTTTTTGCAGCGTGTGTGTTATATACATGGCAGTTGTAATGCCTGTTAATGATCTGCAAAAACAAACATTGTTCACCTGTTTATTTGGCGTCAGTGAGAATTATTTATTTATAGGCTTCTTACACGTTATGTTTTAACAAATTGAGTGTTATGCATAACGCGGCCCCATGCATTTTGTACTTAAAAGTCTATAGTCATTCATATATTTTTAAAAATGTATCATTTCAGGACGACAGTTTACACGTTTTTGTATTCAAGTCTCACAAACATTTTCCATTAAACGTTATTTCACCGTCTAGACAGTGCTATTTTAAAAAAACCTGAGGCTGATGGCATTTTACTGTATGGCATAATTAGTTCCTAAACACGTCCCTCCAAATTTAGTACGCAATTCCTTTCCATCATTTTTCTGTCAGTAAAATGATTTTAGCCTGTTACATTACTCTTTTACAGCCCCGTAATCCGTCATTTGTAGCGCATGTTATTTAAAAGAGCATTTCCACACGTGCCAGATTTAAAACTCCGGTTGAAAAACAAAAAACAAAAGGCGAAGCACACCAAAACTAATCATGGCGCTTCTGTAATTTACTGTATCTACACACGCTCGAAAATACTTTCTCCGTAGTTTTTTTAAAGCCAGCATTAAAGATGGCAGCCCCCTAGGTGTCTCACTTTCGCAGCGTTTTGTGGTGCTAAAGAAAGAAAAAGAGTGAGTCAGTGCGGTGACGTCACCACTGTGTTGATTTGCTAACCCTAAAGCAGAGAGGAGCTAGTGCGTGTGAGAGCGGGTACTGTGAACTGTTGCGTTACTATGCTGCTGCCCCAATAACAACACATTCGGAAATTTAACGTGCAACCTAGGTAAGTACACATATCTTACGGGCTAGCAGCTTCTACACAAATGCATAGCAAACAGTCCCGTCACTCTGCATGCTTATCTGTTTTTGCTCTGCTGTTGGTACAGTAAAAGTGTAAAGGACCAACTCGTCGGTAATGTTACGCTTAACAAACCCCCAGAAGTTACACTGTCTCCAATACCGTGTCGCTAAATCGAGGTCTTCATGACCGCTTTCAGGAGGGGGAGGATGTTTTCGCATTTTGCGAAATACACTGCAAAAATAATGACACATTACTGTATGATATTTGGAAATCCAAAGTTGTTTCCATTTGAGAGATTTATAATCATATATATATATAAACGAATTCTGATGTTGACGCTGCTCGCTGTTTTAGTATTCTGGAGATCGCAACAAGAGAAACGTGTGGTCTGACTGTACAGTTGACTGCTCAGCAGACAGTGCCTACCTTGTGAATAGCTTTATCATATGAGGAGATACCCATGTTCTGAATCTGCGGAAGACTGTATACAAACATATTATCATCACAACCATTGTACAGGGTCATTTTATGTGTAAATATTTGTGAAGTAGCTGTAACAAATGCAGTGGCTTCATGCACTTGATGCGTTTACAGACAGTGGTCGCGGGAGCCGTGGTGTGAAATTATTACCAACACCGGTGTGGGTTAGGAAGCTGAACATTTATTGGGCACAGAGATCAGACGGAATGATACTGCACATCATACAGACGAGAAAGTGTTGGATTGGTAGCTAAGGGCTAATAAATCGCTAGATTTTTGAAGCCACCAATTTTCTGCAGGCAAGCCTTTGCGGGCAAAGAAAATTATTTTTAAGGTCTTCTGTAACAGTGAACGTGCAAGGTAGGATTTTACTACTTAGGTGCCTTTTAAAAGAATCAAATAATCCAGCATGGAATTAACATGTCAAATGTTTCTTATTTTAGCATTATGAGAAATTACTATAGGCGATTCACGTGGGTTAATCAGTGGCTTCTCTGAAGTCACCAATTAAAAGCGTGATTCAATCAATTGTAGTTGGGAGAGATTTTTTTCGGGTAGTGGATTATTTTTTTCCGAAATCTCGGAGAAGCAGCGATGTTCAGTAAGTCATTGTGACGGTGTTGTTCTGTTACTGTTATAAATATGTATTAGCGTTTCCATAACATGTTTTCTTTTTCGGGAAATGCGTTATTTTGGTCTGTTTCTCGGTACGCATTCTGTGTTTAACGATACAGTCTACGTTGAAGCCCGGAGTACAGTGGATAATTAGGCAGGGGTAGCATTAATTAAAAATTGCTGTTGTAAAAGTGCGGTGTTTTGTTTCTTGAAACCACAATGTATCGACTTTTTGTAGGTAATATAAAACCGTGCTTCAAAACATTTATAGTAAAATATAGCCTGCTATAACTGTTTACTCCTTAAGAAATATTAGCTAAAACACGAAGCACTTTTGCTTTTGCGCTCTGGAAAGTGCCATGATAGTAAATCTTGTGCGCTTTGTATATTAAGACAGTTGATATTTTTGTGGAATATTTTATAAACTACTTAATACGTTCAGAAGTTTGTGCTTTTCTCCCATGTGTTTTACTATTCTGCTAATACTTTTTAAATTTTTTCGCGCAACGGTTAATAATGACGTTTCATGTCTTATAAATAACACAGTAAGTGGAAATTCAATTGAAGTCGTAATCCGACGTCCAATAGCATGTAAATCAAGTCAGTATATGTGCAGTAGACGTGCTTCTTTCGCATGATGACCCTAACCCCACATTCAGATGTCATACAGTATATTGTATATCGATTTAGTTTAAATTATATCGTTACAGAATGCGTTACAGATTTAAACGTATCATTGAAAGCGTTACGAATTGTATTATGTTTGGCAAGAAAGCACAAAATGGGCTATTTCTGATTTTATTCTGAAAAAGCGATGTAAAAGGTGCTCCCAAGAAGTTTTGCATGTTTAAAATACTCAGGGGATATTATGTGCCATGTAATTTATTTTTGCTTATAATGCGCGAAGGTCCATAACGTGTTAAATCTTTTCCCTCGATTTATAGATGAACGTCGTGTTAAAATGTTTAAAATAAAACTATGAAACAAAAATAAGTTTTTTTTTTTCTGCAGTAGCAACTGGACTGTCTTATTTCGTGCGTTGGATGAGTTGCATTACACTTAAGAGTTTGAAAAATGTTTTCTGGTAGGCTTTAAGAAAATTCCCAGTCTAAAGTGAAGTGAAGCCTCAGATGATAAAGATGATAAAATATTAAAGATGTTTGTGTACACACATTCATGTACCTTTGTGGTGTTTGTTTACATAATATGTGGTGTTACATTTGCTCAAAACCCAAAGTAGGCAAGTAACTCTTAACATGTATTTTCACAATTTAAAGAAAACTCCAGTTTATGTACAGTACTGAATGCTTACTACAAGAATGCTTCGTGTTGAAATCCCCTCCCTGTTGTGAATGCAGCCGTTTGATTAACCAGTCACATTCCCTTGTATCTGTACAGTCTGCTGATTTACTAGCAATGATTAGGTTTAATCTGTGTTTTGAATGCACTTATAACCCTTTTTCGATGAAAGTATTATGGACCAGAAAGATGCTGTATTTATTTTTATTAGGTAATGCACTTTACTCACCATTAATGTGTAAACTATTCGTTTGCTACGCTTGTAATGCCTGGTAGGATCGATAAAAAGTAAAACGTCTTTCTTTTAAATGCGCAAAAGTTTTTGTTGATATGAAAATGGAAATATGGAATCTCGATCAAAGTTAGACCTTGGCTTGATAGATTTCGTCTAATGCTGCTCTTTTTGTTTAAAAAAATGTAAAGGATTTTTTGCGTCTACAAATGTGCACATTCGTGATTTAAGTTTTCTTTTTGTGAGTTCACAGAGGTCTAAACCATTAGAAATAGATTCATCCTTAAATTTATTTCTTGCAAGAAAAAAAATATTTTCCTGCTTAGGTGGATTGCCAAATACCAGCAGAACTAAATGTAATTACCGTAGTCCTAACGTAAATCTGGCTGTTGTTGATTGGAGTGTTATTATTAGGCCATTTATTATTAACATCACAAACATTTTATTCAGAACAGGGATTATTAAAATTTGCAAACCGCACACATTATTGTATGGGTAAAGAAATGACAGTTTCTCTGATATTATAAAGATGCTAACAAATACTGCTTTTCTGAACACTCAGTTTTATTTGGTGATCATCTTTTCTAGCTAAGCGTCCCTTTTGAATGCAGAAATCTCCCAGCCTTCACTGTAACCTCACTTTTAGTCTCCAGCACTATTCCTGCTGCTATGTTTGCTTTATTCTCCATGCTCTGTTCTTTATTCCTCTCTGTGATGAGAATACTGAATAAGATGCCATTTCATTTCAAAATGGGTGTTGATGGTCTTTGTGAACAGAGCACTGCCACATGTTCTAACAAAGCCAACAGAACTGCCAGGTTTTTCATTGGCACTGGTGAAGAGGGGCAGGTTTTAGAGTTTACAGTGGCTTTCTTTCCGGTGTCTAGACTGTTGTCCCCAAAATGGGTTATTTTATTAAGAACCTCAATGTGCTATGGTGTGTTTTGGTCCTAAATTGTGCAGTCCATGCAGAGCTCTAATGTGGCATGCAGTCTTTTTTTTTTCAACTGCTTTCTTTCTTGAATGGATTTCTATTGGCCTTTTTTCCTTTATCACACATGTTAGGGTGGCAGGGTGGTGCAGTGGTTAGCATTGTTGCTTCGCAGAGCTGAGACTCTGGGTTAAATTCCTGGGGTTGCTATCTGTGTGGAGTTTGTATGTCCTCCCCATGTCAGCCTGTTTTGTTCTGTGGTGCTCTGGTTTCCTCTTTTAGTCTAAAAGCATACTGATTGGTCCATTGGCTTCTGGGAAAGTTGTCCCTGGTGTGAGTGTGTGTGTTTTGTGTCTGTGTCTTGTGGACTGGTGTCCGATCCAGCGTGTATCCTGCCTTGTGCCCGTTGCTTGCTGGGATGGGCTCCATGCTCATCCGCACCCCTGTACTGGATAAAACGGTTAGAAAATGGATGGATGGATATTCACATTTGGAGAATGAGATAGAGAAATTTTAAGAGTCTCGTGTTCTTATAGCTGTCACTGGTTACTGCATGTCATCTAATGGGGTTTAAGTTTTGCCATTCACATCAGTGCTTGTACACTCCACCCAACATTACTGCTGTGAAAAACTACATGCCAGTGTGAACTGGATTTCTCTGTTGGTATTTTCATGTACTTGGAAGTAGTCCAGGACATTCATATATCAATCTGTCTTACATAATGTAATTCATTTGCCATGGGCTAAGTTTACAACACCAAGTCAATGAACTCCAGTCTGGAACACTTTTTTTTACATTCATTATCTTTGTAAGTATGAATTGTTTTTTTTTTATGCTGTTAAACATCATCAGTCGATAAACAGATATCCAATCGCTGTGAATCTAAAAAGACTGTTAATTTTGCAGTCAGCCCGAGTTCAGTAATGGTAATCGAAGGTGCAATTAATACAAATTAAGACTCCAAGGATAAAAGCAAGCTTTTCAAATGGCAGTCCAAGCTGAGTTTTAATGAAGATGAATGCTGTGTGTTTTTTCCCCTAAAAATGATCCATCTCCACTGTTTAATAGTCGGTTTATGTGCTTTCTCTCTCCACAGATTTACCGCATCTTGTTTACAAAGATAACTGAAGAAGACAACGGGGGGTAAAGACAGACTCATGAGTTGGTCCAGTGGATGTCAGGGACGTTATGGATTTGACTAAAATGGGTATGATACAACTGCAGAACCCCAGCCATCCCACAGCACTACTGCAGAAAGCCAACCAGATGCGCTTGGCTGGGACATTGTGTGATGTGGTTATCATGGTAGACAGCCAGGAATTTCATGCCCATCGGACAGTGTTGGCTTGCACTAGCAAAATGTTCGAGATCCTATTCCACCGCAACAGCCAGCATTACACGTTGGACTTCCTCTCACCAAAGACCTTCCAGCAGATTCTGGAGTATGCCTACACCGCCACACTCCAAGCAAGAGTGGAAGATTTGGATGACCTGCTGTACGCGGCAGAGATCTTAGAGATAGAATACTTAGAAGAGCAATGCCTAAAGATCCTGGAAACCATCCAGTCCTCGGATGAGAACGACACAGAGGTCAACATGGCTGAAGGCGCCGCCGAGGACGACGAAGACCGCAAGGCGAGGCATGTCAAGAACATGTTGATCTCAAAGAAGCATTCCATGGAGGAAAGTGGCTACGCCTCCTCTACCCTTCAAGGTCTGACCGTCGGCACGATGGTCGACCAGAGTCCCTCGGTTTCAACCTCTTTTGGTCTCTCTACCATGAGCCCCACCAAGGCTGCCGTGGACAGTTTGATGAGCATTGGGCAGTCCCTATTGCAGGGCTCCATGCAGCAGAACCATGGCGAGCAGATGATGGGCCTGAGCGGCTCGCCCCAGGTGAAGACCGAGGTGAAGACAGAGATGATGCAGGTGGATGAGGCCTCGGGGCACGAGAGCCCCAGGACGGCAGAATCCAGCTCGTCAAGCGGTGGGGAGAAGAGCGGAGAGTCGGACAAGAGCAGGGAAGGCCCGGGAACTCCGACCCGGAGCAGCGTGATCACGAGCGCCCGTGAACTGCACTACGTCCGTGAAGAAAGTATCTCTGATCAGCCGGGCGACGGGAGCCACGCAGCGTTGGAAAGCATGGCTTCCCTAACCGAGAAGCAACTTGCTTCTTTGTACTCTGTGCCTCCTAACCATAAAAACGAGACTCTGCTGTCTATGCCAGCCTCTGTCGCGTCTGCCCTGCACATGCAGCCAGCCCTGGCTATGTCCATGGACTTCAGTGCGTATGGGGGGCTGCTTCCCCAGAGCTTCATCCAGAGGGAGTTCTTCAACAAGCTGGGGGAGCTCGCTGCTGGCATTAAGACCGAAAACCGAAGCCAGAACGAGCGGTGCAATGTGTGTGGTGCCGAGCTGCCTGACAATGACGCTGTGGAGCAACACAGGTAATATCATCGCAGTCAGGTGCATCGATATAGGGGTTGGTTGGGTACAGATTCACTCAAGTTCTGCCCCTTCTTGCAAGTGAACGAGAGATGTCACTGTGCAGACATCACAAAGTTCTAGTATAACCATAAAAGAAAGAGCCGTCGATTTCTCTCTAGTTCTTAATAAATATAAAAAATCCCAATTTATCAAGGCAGTTGAAGCTGTTAGTTGTTTCTAACGGATGTTATGAATGGATGGGCTATGGGCTTTGGGTAATATTGTGCCGCAGCAACCAAAAGCAAAGCAATTGCAGTATAAAATAGAAATTTGGAAAGGCTGCATTTAATTACAGCAATACTGTTCATGTCTTTCTTCCATCATTGTTCTGAGAGAATTTAGGGTTTCCTTGTTTCAGACAAGAATAGTCACACAAGTAAAACCTCACACCAAACGTTTTCCCTACCAAGATGAATATCTTATGTTTTGTAGCTGACAGCCTGAAATTTATTGACAGTATAAAAACCCCTAGGGATTTAAGCTATAGTACCACAACAAATGTCATTGAATGTTTTAAGGGAGTTTCCAGTTCATGTTCAAGAGCAGGCAAACTTTTCAATATATTCAATCACCTGCTCCCTCCTCCATATAAATCAGAACATAAAAACGGTGGCAAATTATAAAAGAACATTCGGCCAGTCTAGCCTAATCAAGCCTGTTTGGTTGCTAGTAGCTAATTGATCTGGGGAGCCTTCAGGCTGTTTCTTGAAAGAAGACAGGCTATTGGCTGCAGCAATGTGGCTGGAAAGCTTGTTCCATACTCTCACAACCCTTTGTGTGAAGTGCAGAACCTGTTCTCCATTTTAGAAGCACTTCTGTATAGTTTCCACCTGTGCCCCTGGCTTGTGGTTCACTGTTGATTTTGTTGAAGTGCACTGCATCGATTTTGTTTATACCTTTTGAAGATTGTTATTACTTGAATCTGCCCCCTCCTCCCCCTCCTAGTTTTCTGTTTTCAAACCTAGTAAGGTAGATCTTTCCTGTAAGCAGAGCATGTTATTGCTACTCTCTGGAGTGATATCCAGATATTATTTTGTGTAACATGGTGACCAAAATTGTACAGAATATTCTAAATAAGATCTTGCCGGCATATTGTAGAAATTTAAAAAAAAATCAGTGTTTTTAACCACCTATCCTGATATCTCTTCCTTACATTTTTGAGGGAATTTGAATGATGTATTAATGTGAACACCTGTCTGACCAGTGTTTACTTCATTTGTGTGCTATGCTCAAGAACTCTCTACCACTCCATCTGCACTGCCCTTGCAACAGCCCTTTTGGTCATCTTAAACAGGGGAGGTTGGATCTACCTTTTCCATAAGGCTGGGTCTATATCCAAGCAGGTTAAAAGCCAAAGTAATTCTCCGAGTGTCCTCAGTCCTGCAGTAGTCCATATCTCCTGATGTTCAGTGCTGCAAAACTTTGTTTTAAGTAGGTCTGGAGCACTGCATTACAGTAACTGTGGTGTTTGGCTAGCTTACTATATACTCTTATCGATTGCCAACATTTTAGCACCGGTAAAGCAAGCTCAGCTTCTTTTGGGACATTTTTATTGTTATATTTTACAGACAATAGTCCATAATATCTTTCATGGTCTTGAAGTCTGTAGAGTTTGGAGTTCATTTTCCTGTGTCTTACATTTCAGAGTTTTACAGATAATTTAACGTAATGAACTCTTATTTCTGTGTCAATAATATGCATAATTAACAATGATATAGGTTCATAATGTCTGTGAGCCAACAGAACACTTCCAGAGTCCATGATGAAAAAGAGACGTGCCCATTTCTTAGTTAATTTCTCTTTGGTGTGTTTTCTGATGTATTGCATAGTGCATTAAGAATCCACAAGCCGTTAATTTAAAACCAGATAAGTTAAAGTATGATGTTTTCATGGTAAGTAGTTTTAGGGACCTGGACTTGGATTAGAGCACTGTTTATTAGAATAAGGGGAGATAGAGAAACACTCTCAAGTGTGTGGAGACCATATAAATATCGGCATCCAGATAAGACTTACTCTTTCCATTGAGTAATGAAAACCTGTATATAATTCTAATCATGTTTGAATACAGTTTATGATTTTTAATTCCAAGCTGAAGTATTTATGTTAAATTAAGTGGCTACATGCCCAATAGCTGGACTATAAATTTGAAATTTGAGATGGTTGTTATAGCCAACAGTGTTTGCTGTCCATTTCATGGTACTGACAAATCCTGCAATAATTTATTTCCCTAAAGCACAGCCGAATCCCACCCTCCCCCTAGATAAGTACAGTAGCTGAAAGAAAAATTAACATTTATATGTAAATTCTCAGAAGCTTATATAGTATTGACATGCTATGCAAATAAATGATGTGTAACTAGATCTTTTGACTCCCTTTTATTAAAATTTCAAATCAGGCAGGAGGCAGCTCTAGGTTGCTCAGTAGCTTCATCAATGAGAGTCGGGATGATGGGTTTTTTTCTGGGCTTTGGCGTTTCAGCACATGAAACGACCAATTGACAAAATTTGCTTTGCAGAGAGGTGTGACCTAACTTACGACTTCTCGCCATCTCGTGGTACAAGAGCCTCCAAAGATGATCATTTCCAGATCTACCGCAATAGCTTCTGAGCGGTCCCCTCTGTTGCTGGCGTGGCGGACCCCATTAGTGGCACCTGGAGAAGGGGCTGGCTAATAGAAAGCAGCTCTTCCTCCCCCACTGCGTGGCCCGTGACGAGCTGTCCTGACAGGGCCCCAGCAGTCTAGTGCAAGGAAGTCCTTATTAGCTTTATGAGCAGAAGAGGCTGCCCTCCTCAGGAAATGAGAGCTGGAGAGAGGACCCAAGCCCTGACCTCGATCGTGTAACCTCTGGGCGCTGGAGAAGACCTCTGTCAGCGTGCACCGTGCTGGCCACTCTCCTCTGGTTCTTGTCATGAGCACAGGGTGAATAAATACACCCCGGGCTGATGGGAGCCCTTGAACTCTCTTAATTCACTCCTCCGGGAGTTTGCCGTTCAGCGAGCGGAGGCGACTGTTTCTTCCTCTCCTCGGTGTGCAGCCCCGGGTCCTTTAAAGTTTGGATATCACGGCGACTAACAAAAAGCCAAGTGTTAAAAGCTGCATAGCCAAGTCAGGAATTCCGTAGGTACGGGGGAACACTGGACTCATGTCTCCGAATGAATACAATAAACAAAAACGCTTGTTCTTTTTTTATTTAAATTGCTTCTTAAGTTAGACCCCCACATTAATCCCTAATGCCCAATAAAACTGAGTAAGCCAGTGAAAAACAGGGGGGAAACTAGGCTTTTACTAGGCCCCTAAAGAGCTGCCAGTCAGAATGATTGACAACTTTATTTCTCATTGGTAACAAATAACAGGCCAAACAAAGAGGGTCCTGGTGAATGAAAACAGGAGGTCACAATATGGAGTTGTAAACCGTTTTAATTTCAAAATTTTCAAGCTGTGGGGAAGAGAAAGTGGCAATGATTAATCATTCTAAAGAGATCTAAATGACTGCCGCGGTCCCATATGCCCCGATAAACACGATGTAGTCACTGTGGGCTGTCATTCAAGGCACTGAAAAGCTTCTTGTTTTGATTAAAATGCTAAATTCATAAACCACTCCAAATTGTACATGGTGGTTCTGCTGCTTAAAACATTTAGTTAAAGGAGGACGTCCGGAGGGGCTGTGAGTCTGCCCATTTTAAAATTAGTTTGCTTTAATGGCGTTATAGCTTATAATTTGAAATGTCAAAATAAGCGAGCAAAAAGTTAAATGTGACAGAAAATTTTTGCTGTTTGTTTTAAGTCAGTTGAGTTGCCACGTTTTGAAAGATTTCTGCAGATGCAGTCTCCACCTCTGCAAGCTGTTTTCCTATAGTGACCACCCCATAAAGTTTTGCATAGCCTGGTTACTTTCACAAATTGCTGAAACCCTAAATGGTATAGAGTCCCACTGATTATAGGTTCATAGCCTTTGGCGTTTTGACATTTAGCGTTTCATTTGTCCTAATCTGCAGGAATGCACAACGGTTAAAGTTCATATCAGGATTCATTTGATTTGCTCTCCAACTGTCACTGCAGTGTGTAGGAAGAAGCTGATTTAATAAACGTCTCCTAATTTAAAGGTTGAAGCAGAGTGACTGTCTCCATTTGTACTCTATTTTCTTTAAACATATTTAAGCACTTCAAAAGAAAGAACAGAGTGACTGTAACTTGCTCATTTTCAAAATGTGCTTAGGTTTATTCTTGAGCAGTATGGCTTTAAAATGTCTTTCAATGAGACCTTTGTGTGGCATTTCCTTTCATTTTAGAGTTAAGATTATTATTGCAATTGCAGTCTTTATGTATATGGCATGTGTTATGATTTAATGTGTATTGCAGAATGTTTTAAAGAAATCATTTTTGTATTTTTCTAATTTATTATTTATGGTTTACAGTGATTTCCCATTGTGAAGGAGACTCACTGGTTACATCTGGAAACTGATGATCTTTTCCTAAGTAATGTTTGGACTGTTTTTTTAAGTCTTTATTAAATCGTCAGTGGGATTTGGGAACTCCCCTTAAAATGCATCATGTGGATATACTAGAGTTCTTTCTTAGAGGCATGTCAGGGAATTTCTGCTACTGGATTTAAACTAGAGTTTTGCAGCAAGTACTTCAATGACATTTCTGCCAGGTACACAACATACAAACTGAGTGACACCTCTTAATAGGGTGGCAGTGCTTAGCATTGTGGCCTCACAGTGCCAGCGCCCTGGGTTCAATTCCTGGGATGCTGTCTGTGTGGAGTTTGCATGTTCTCCCTGGCTTTGCGTGGGTTTCCTCCAGGTATTTTGTTTTCCTCTCACAGGCCAAATACATACCATTAGGTTATGTGGCTACTGGGAAAATTAATCCTGCTGCGTGTTTGTGTGTGTCTGTGTGCCCCTGTGATGGACTAGTACCCCATCCAGGGTGTTACCTGCCTTGCGCCTGTTGCTTG